ACACACACACACACACACTCACTAGCACCCCAAATAAGCATGAATGTGATTCACTACATAGGAGCAACACCTCTGATCATCTTCTGTGAGAGGAAGAGAGGCATAATGATCGATACTTTTAGGATGACGCTTCTAGGGGTGGAACTGACTGCCATAAATGTAAGGGTGTGTCTAAATTATTCCTTATAAGACATGCTGATCCCTTGGGACACAGGAAAGGGTGGGAGCTGATGGATTTGGGGAACCAGAGGAAACTGCTGTGGAGTGAATTTCTGATAAGCTGGATTTATGCTGATTCAGAAAACTTCTTGCAGGACGCGGTAGTGAAACCAGCAGGCCTGTGTGTGCAGTGGGGACCCTGAAGCCCAGAGCTCCAAGAGCTACTGGTTCAGCTTTTCAGATGAGACATCTTGGGGAAAACAACAAAGGGAAATACTACAGACGTACTAGAGTCTGATTAGGGCTCAAACGAACACAACGTAAAATACTCAAATCCCACCATTCCTCAACAGTGGCCACTTTGCCCCAGATTCTTTATGGTCCTGCTTTTGCTTACTGTAGGACAAGTTCAAGTATCTGTGTATCCTATGCAACTGATGGAATGGTCCCTGTTACTCCTTTTCTCACTTCAACTCCAATATTGCCTTTTGTTGCTTTCATCACATTTCAGAGAGAGATGGACAGCAAAGAAATCAGAAGTGGGAAGGTGGAGTACACATACCCCATGTCCTGGGGGGGGTCATGAGGGGATGTGAGCCTGAGGCACCTTTGCTCAAGGGGACTACACTTTTGGGGAATTTAGATCAGAAGAACCACTGGAAGATCTTTATCCCAAGGCTTATGCTTCTGTGAGGTCTCAGAAATCATCTCTAATGGAGGTGCTGGGATTTTCAACTATGAGTAAATCTAAACGGAGAACTGCCACACATTTTATTGACACATCAGGTGGCACTAGAAAATAAAATACGTGAAAGGAAGTCATCACTGGATCTGGACTTATCCATTCTGCTACTGTGTGGAGAGTGGATGAAATAACTTAAAAGAGCTCTTAACCGTGATCATGGCTACTTCTCATTTTGACATATTAAACTAGAAATTCTCCAGAAGCTGCACTGTTCCTTCTTTTTTAAAAAAGAAGAATTTACATATGCAAAATTATCTAAGAACAAAGCTTTAGATTTGGAATCACTTCTTCTTTGAGTATCAGGCTAAACACAACCCTTCCAACAGAGAAATGTATGGCACGGGAGTAGAAATGTAAGTATCTTACACACGCACGCACACACACACCAATAATGTGAACACAAGTGGTACACATATGCAGTAAAGTCGGTAGTGATCTCCTGCGGTGGGGGTCTCACTCCCCCCCACACTTACTGAAGCACCCAGGTACCCAGCAGATCCCCTCATACGAGATTTCCCGCATCTTCATCTCTTCACTGCCTTTCCCATAACAAACCCATCACGCTTTTCCCTCGACTCATCAAAGTTGATTCTAGAGCCGCTTCCTGCACAAATGCTGGCATAACCACTAGTCTACAGAGCCTTCTCCCAAGTTCCAGAACCCAAGGAAGGACTCATTGTTCTTGGCTTGTTCTCTGACCTCAGCCTGTGACTTTGCCTTTCCAATAAAACTGAGCACTGTACACATCTGGGGTGCACTTCTCATGGATCATGAAATCGGTGACTCACCGAACCTCAAGGGGTCTCAGTTTCCCCAATGACAAGATAATGCTAATGGCACTAGCTACCTGCCAGGCTATCCGGGGACTTGGCAACAGCGTCTACAAATCACCAAGAGGCCCTATGCCATAAATAACAAGTCTTATTAATAAAATTAGTTCAAGACAAGTGCCAAAGAGAATATAGCTCTGGCAGTGGCAGATCACACTTGGTCAGAACAAAAGAGGGTGGAGGGATTCTCTGATCCTCATTTCTCTTTTAACAGTGCCTCCCTTTAATACAAGAAGACTTTAATCTTTTTTTTTCTTTTTAAAAGGTTACTTCTACCCATGCAACTTTGCACATCAGGCAAAACTTCATTCCAAGTTATCAGGAGGCAACATTCTTTTCACTGGCAGGACAATATAGTATTGATTTCAAAGCACGTCCAAATATTGCTTCCAATTACATTAACCGCGGCTACTTAACCACTCAGGACCAAATGGATTCCAATCCATTTGCTGCATGACCCTCACTCCTGTTGTGCCTTAAAGAAATCCAGATTTCATTTCCAGCAGCATGATTCCCTCAGCCAACAGAGGTGGCTCAGCCTCTGATACTCTGGGTTGCAGGAGCTAAGGGACACTTTGAGAATCAAAATCAGGTTTCTGCTGATCTGAGGGTTTGTCCTTCTCGCCTTGTCCAAGTCAGACTCCAAAGAAATGGGGTCAAATGCTCTGAATGAACATGAAACAACAAAAAGACCAGAAACAAAACAGTGAAATGTGTCCTCCCTCGTCTCCTTAACCCCCACAACTTTTGTCGCATATTTTCAAGATGGCACACATAGCTAAGTTCCAGGAAGCGTACGTAGAGATTTTTGCATCCAGTTCCTGAGGTATTTCCCCAGGGCTGGCAGTGGCTTCCCTGGATGAAGTCAGAAGTTGGCTCCTGGCTCTCTGGCTGGTGCTTTCCCACACCTGGCAGTCACGCTTTTGGAAAAGGAGGAGACTTAGGGGATGCTGAGCCGGAAGGGGTGTCTAAGCAGCTGCTCAAAACCCAGTCAGGTAAACGCAGATCAAGTCACCCTGACCAGGTGTCTAAAAATACACTGGTTAGCTACTCCCATACTGAAGAGGCCGTCAGCACTGGAGAGCTCAGATCTAGAAATGTGCCTGCCTTAGATGTTCTGAGAATCCCTTTCATGCGAGGCGGTGCGGATTCAAACTGCAAGACGCCAGAAGAGAAGAGCGGCGGCAGCCTCTATCGGGATGTTCCATTCATAGGGGAGAGAGAGAGCCTCATCCATTCGTGGTGGGGTCAGGGAGTCCTTCGCTGGCATTGGATCGCCCGGCTCAGCAAGCGGAGCTGCCGGCAGCCAGGCATGGCTGCATCATTCAGAATGAGCATGTCTATTAGGAAACCACCGCCAGCGCTATTATTAGAACGGCCACCCCTCGGAAATTTTGCAGAATTTGCTTGAATCTACTGAGCGGCTTACTCTGCTCACAAGGTATTGGAGAAAGGCACCGGGCTCCTGATTACACAGGGGCGGCCCACATGGCTTTCAAAGTGCAGGACTGGTTAATCTTCTCTAAAGGCCACAGGTACAAACGTGTGGGCATCTGTCTGCAACACAGAAGCAACGCGTTTGGTCATTTTTAAATGACCACGTACTAAAGGTTTCCTCCTGTTCTCCTCCTCCCCCTTTCTCTATGCATCAAACTTGCTGCAGCCATTTGGAGTGTAAAAGGGCAGTGTATTTTAGCAGGATCATCTGCCTGCTTCCTGCCACCCTCGGGCACCCAAACGACAGGACTCCTCGTCACTTCCATAAAAATGGTTTTTCTCAAACAAGAACAAGAACAACAACAACAACAACAAATCCCACCCAGGGCTGCTTTCTGTGATGTCCTTTCCTTTCTCCCTGGGTAAATTCAGACAGTGTGAGGTTGAAATGCCAGAGAAAGTGTAGGGGGGGAGGGGGTGGGGAGCAGAGGGAGTGTAGTAGGTGCCGCACGTGGGGTTCGCATTGAAAAAATGTCACATCCACGACATTAAATACTCTACGCTTCCAGTAAAGAAGTGTCATGTCCCTTTTACCGGCCCAGCATTTAAAAATGGACACACAAGTGCGGCACAATCAACCGCCTCCTAGCAGTCGCGGCTGCGAAACAAAGACACATTACCTTTTATTTGTTGCGCTTCGCTAGGAGCCGAGGAACTTCAGGTTTGCAGCGGCGGATCCACCGAAACGGGCGTCCCATTCGCCCCGGGGAGCGCAGGCCCGTGGCCTAGCAGGCGGCATCCGCGCCCGGCGCCTCCGCCTCCTCCGCGGCGCCCGCAGCCGCCCCGCCGGGTTCCGGCGCGCCCCCGCCGCTGCCGCCGCCGCCGCC